TCGAATGCATAGGCTAGTAGACATAGATCTATGCAGTTTAAAAAAAAACACACACATAAAATGTTTACTCAAGTTAGAGTATTCACCAAATAAAATGTTTAATGTAATAAGAAATAATATCGGATTATAAGTATTGAGTCCTTGGAAATTACTTTGTTTACGTTACAGATACGAAAGTGATTCCTTGACATGGGCTTCGAAAAACCTGAAAAAGAGATATTAGGGTAACTGATGTTTGCTTGATTGCGAGAGTCTTCCGTGGCTGAGTGGTCTAAAAGGCACATCCGGCTACATGATGCTAAGACACAAGAACTAACCATTTTAGAAGTCATATCCCCCTTGTTAAGATAGTAAAAATAATAGTACGGTGGACAATTCTTTTTAAGCCGAGTACTTTCGATCGTCACAGTTATTATGAAGGATAGTTTGTGTGTTTTGTTTTACAGCATATCAACATCTCAATGGGTTATTTAATGCCGACAAAATTTTTAGTGCAGTATTTTTTTTTTCAAAAATGTATTGCTGGGAATAATTTTATTTCTTCAGACATTCATTGCTGGTAATAACCTTTTACACTTTCATTGTGTTTTGATCCCTTTGGTGGGGGTTAACTATTTGCCCATAGCTGGGACCCTAACAGGTGCTACAACCCCGGGTCAGAGTGGATCTGAAAACAGCAGCAATTAAGAGGTGGTTCCACGTTCCTCAAAACCTCCTGAGAAGAGGCCTTGATGTTGGATGTTTATCGCCTTACTCAAGATGTATGAAAGAATGTGTTTACTCGGATAAAAAAGAACTTGTTTGAAAATATATATATATATATATATATATATATATATATATATATATATATATATTAAGCATTACGCCCCGAGCAAGGCGGAAAGCCACTAGGATGCAGGGGGTTGCAGAAGATTTGGAGCGAGAGCAGATAGGAGTGATAGAAGAAAGGATAAGGAGAGGGATAGTGGATAGATCAGGGTGACTGGAGATGTCGATTGGCATTACATTTGAATAGTTGGAGATTATAGCTCTCAGGAAACAGTAATTGGGAGGGTGTTCCACAGACGAGAGGTGCGAGGTATGAAGCTATTGGAGTAGAAGAGACGGCTACATTTAAAAGTTTCTACAGTGAAAGGGTGAGAGCGGGATGCCAGCCTCGTAGGGCGCTTGAATTCATGGAGTCTGGGAACCAGTGAAAGCAGCTCATCGGAGCAATTACCATGAAAATATTTGTAAAAAAGACAGAGAGAGGCGAAGGCGCGTCTGTGAGAGAGGGACTGTAGACGAGATTCCAGATCAGGGCCAATTATATTACATATCCGCCTCTGGATCTTGTCAAGAACTCCGAGGTAAACAGAAGGTGCCTCAGACCATATATGGCAGCAATACTCCATGCAAGGGCGAATGGTTGTTTTGTATATTTGAAGTATCGATTCCGTGGAAAAGATTTCCTGGCGCGGCACAGAGAGCCAACTTTCCTCGCGGTGGACGAAGCAATTGACTCAATGTATTTTTTCCATCTCAGGTCAGCAGTCAACGTTAGACCGAGCAGACACAGAGTTGCTCTCGAGAAGTTGAGCGTCAGACATTCTAATGGGGAGCAGGGAAGGATCTCTATGGTGATTAATAGAGATTAGTTTAGTTTTTGAGGCGTTAAACTTGACCAGCCAATTCTTGCCCCAATTAACAACCGATTGGAGGTCCATTTCAAGACGAGCGGCCAGGTTAGTTTTGTCAGCGACACTAGATTTGTTTTTGAGGCGGGAGTAAATTGTAGTGTCGTCCGCGTAGATGCCAACTTGGGAATCTATGGCGTCTGGAAGGTCGTTGATGAAAATAAGGAATAGAGTGGGGCCAAGAATGGAAGTCACGTTTTAAATCGGCTATCACCTAAAGTCAAGAGAACCCCATCTACCCTTAGTATTTAATCAATAGACCGGAAATTAAACTCAGCATTCCAATTTCACTTTACGGCGAAAACTGTTACATCAGCCACTCTTCTATGTCTAATCAAACAATAAAATAGGGATAGCAAAAGATGTATTCCAAAAGCTGAATAAAGAATAAGAAAAATTGAAAACTATTGAAGTATTGTATAATATCAGTCCTCTTATATGGCAGTGAATCTCTTTACAGATGAAGCAACAAAAATGTGGTTCTCCAGAAGGATGCTGAGGATACCATGAACCGAACCTGTGAGCTAAGACGAAATTAGAGATGCAATGGCAAGAAAAAAAGGATACTTATACTTAACATCAAAAAGAGACAGTTGACACTTCTGAGGCGCATACTGAGGAAAGAAGGCTTGGAAAATTTGATACTTACAGGACATATTGAAGGCAAGAGAGGCAGACGAAAACAACTCATAATCTATCTGGTGACTTTGAGTGAACGGATGGTGGAGCAGTGTTTGTGGGAGATGGCAAAAAAGATAAAAAAAATTAAGAGCTACAAAGGATGAGAGTCTATGGACAGTCATGACCGCTAATCTTCTGAAGGGACACGTGACATCGAAGAAGAAGAACCACAATTACAAAATGCTCCAATATGATACGTACTGATTTAAATCCATCTTTATGACATTTAATCTTGAATTTTTGTGATCCCGATATTTCACTGTAGTAAAAGAAAACATTTTCTTTTAGCTTTTTTATCCATCGTGTGTAAATTTACTGTATTTCTCACACTTGAATTTTATTTGGCATTCTTTACTTTGTTAATCATGTCACCTTTTATCTACTGTTGGTTTTGTTCTTTGTCGCAGTAGTTCATATCTGAAGGGCTATTCTTCATTGGCTAAGAGTTATAATTTAAATCGCTTTCCTTGAATGAAACTTCAGCTCCCCCTATTTTTTTTTCCTCCTTAAATACGTCGAAATCCGATTCTAATGTTGACATGTTCATTTCTGGACGGCGAGAAACGATCGCTACTTTCGCGCCACTTATCAGCTTTGGCGTCATCGGAGATGTTTATTTTACCCACAGTTTAGAAAAAGAATCAAATGCACTGCTCGTCTCTCACCGCCCAAAACTGTATGCTACACCCAACTATATCAACGCGATGGATTTGTTTGGTGCATACAACCTATCCTGTGGGCTCATAAAGGCGCCTATCGTGGCGCGCTCTTAAGCCAATTTGTTTACTCCGTGTGTTCAAGCCTTATGGGCGGCTAACCACACTCACTTTGTGCTCAGCTAAACTACGTTTAGTAAATAACCCTTCTGATGCCTGAAATACCCACGACCACCACCACCAAAAAAAAAAAAAAATTCTCACCAAAAGGATAAGAAATAAAAAGTTATTATTTGTTGCAATTTCAATTTCTTCATTTTGTATCAAATTAGGTTAGGGCGTTACGATTATAGTGATTTTCCAAGCGTAGCTTAGATGTGGCACAAGGCCGAAAGTAGGGGGCGCCCAGTGAGGATTGAACTCACTACTCAGTTGTTCTAGCGAGACAAGCTTGCTAACAATTACACCGATTGAGCTGCCCTAAGCGCTTTATGATTATATACCAGCTCAGATTGCTCCTCTTGCGATCCCAGTTTTCTGCAATTCCTCCTCATTTTGAATAGGAATCTGATTTTTTTTTCACCATGATAATTTTAGAGTACTAATTACTGAAGCAATTTATTAGACAAAATTGTTTTATTATCCCTTTAATTAGAATAACCTAAAATATATACTGGGAGCAAACTGCTTGTATGAGGACAAAAAAAATGTTTGACCAAGTAAATTTTCAAGATAGAAAGGGGCGTAAGACAAGGAAGCGCCGTCTCAACGGATTTACGCAACCTATACAATGAGGCTATCCTAAGAGAACTAGATGTCCTATCAGGATTTATTGCTGGTGGGCATAATCATAACAGATTAAGATACGTAAATGAGACTGTGTTGATGGGAGGCAGAAAGAAAACTGCGTGAACATTTAGATAATATTAGATCAGCCGTTCGGTCAACCTTGCTAAATTACTGTTCGCATTTAAAAATACCTTTATTTGCAGTTATTGAAGTTGCTTTCAATATTAAAAACTTGTCTGTTTGAAGAAAGTTGAATTAAAAATACATACTGTATAAACAAATCGTATTTTTAAATCATATTATAAAACATTAAAGTTGCTTTCATCATTAAAAAAAAATGTTTGTTTGAAGAGAGTTGAAATAAAAAATATTTAAAATAGTGTTTGTTTAAATAAAGATGATATATAAATAAGCAAGCACGCAATAACGGGAAGGTGGTAAGAGAGAGAGAGAGGTGGGTGGAAAGAAAGAGAGATTTTTCTCCATTTCCTCCCCCCACCCCCGCGACTATACGATAATAAATTCATATCTTTCTTTCATCCACTCTCTGTATATGACTTCTGGCAAACACACAAGCAACGTTCACACACTTTTATAGTAATAAAGATAGTAAAGAAAAGTGAGTAAAAATGAACTAAAAATCTATTGCAAGAAGAAAGACACTTATGGCCCCCAGCCAGAGGAACAGCTCAAGATTCGAGATACGAATTGGAGATGTCAAAATCAAGCAAGCATAAATGACAACAGATGTAACTCTAAAATCCAAAAGTGCATTAGAAAATCGAAAGATGTCTGCCAAAAGTCAAAGTTTAATACATAAAAACTTTCGTTAGGAAAAAAGTGCTGAACTACTATGTAATATCAATCATCTTCTTTGTCAGTGAATTTTGGATAAATTCCTCACAGATGGAGAATAGACTTGAAGCAATAGAGATTAGCTTCTACAGAAGGATGCTGAGAATGCTATGGATGAGGCGTGTAAAGTTTCAAAGAAAATTGGGATAAAACACTTAAACTTAGCACCAAAAGGAGAGAGCTAATCCTCCTATTCTTATGTTGGAAACTTTTCCCCTGGATGCCAAGCGCTTCCCATTTGAGAATCAGTACTATATAGAAGTATGAACTAAATCACGTAGAAGACTACAAGAGGACCACAATAGTGGGAAACTGTGACGTTCTAACTCACGCTTATAAGCGAATTGGTTTACCAGGCGAACTTACTCTATAGTAGGTGCCCTGTATTTCTTCCCCTTCTCTATATTTTCAAGGTTCACTTTATTTTTAAATTTCCTTATCTCTGTCCAACTACTTTTCTTTCTTTCTTTCTTTCTTTCTTTCTTTCTTTCTTTCTTTCTTTCTTTCTTTATAATTTCTACTTTATTTACTCCTCAATTTTTTCTTAAGGCTATTCTTTTTATTCTAGCATTCGACTTCTCTCTCTCTCTCTCTCTCTCCCACTCTCTCTATTCTTTTGTTCTCTCTCTCCTGTTTGTCAATGGCTCAACTTCTTTCTTTTTTTCTTTCTTTCTTTTTTCTTTCTTTCTTTCTTTCTTTCTTTCTTTCTTTCTTTCTTTCTTTCTTTATTTATTTATTTATTTATTTCTTCTCCTTCTTTCACTGTGTTTCTTTTTCTATCTCCTCTTTCTCCTTGTTGTTCAACTTCCTACTATTTGTTTTCTTTATTTCGCTTTCCTTTTGCTGTTCAGATTACAATTCTGTTTTATATATCTTTCTTTTTTCAATTCCTGTTTTATCATCCCCTCTCTCTCTCTCTCTCTCTCTCTCTCTCTCTCTCTCTTTCTCGATATATATATATATATATATATATATATATATATATATATATATATATCGGATTGGTTTGGTTTGGTTTTCCTAAATATCTCTTTCTTTCTTCCTCACTTTTTTCTTTCTTTTTCCTTTCCCGTTTTGGGGGACTTGTTTTTTATCTCACGAGATAAGTCGTTTCTGCTTCATCCTTCCAACTTAAAAAAAACTTCCATTTACAAATCTTTGTTCGACTTTCGCGAATTCTACACTTGGTCGTGGATTGTGTTTCTGGAATTAAGATCACTGTTCGGCGTCCCATTCCAAATAAAACAAACTTTTGCATGTTTTGCCACTCTCGTTAGCAAATTGGCCTTAAACGATTCCTCTACTCTTTCTAATGTGCAAAATCTGAATACCATTATAGGAATAATCTGTTCTTGAGTTTTATTTCCTGTTTTCAGTTTCTTTCGTGTTTTTTATTTCCTTTTTCTTCCAGCCTTTCCTTTATTCACTGCATGTCTTTCAGGGTTTTCTTCGTTCGCTCTATTTCGGTCACTTGCTTCCTATTAAGGATTGCGTTACCGCTTGGTCCTAAAGACTTTTCTTTCTTTTTCACTGACGCCTCGTTGTTTCTTAGTGGCATTATCACCTTGCATGGGGTGAAATGATTAATAAATAAATAACTTCATTAATGAACAATTTTTTTTTTGTCGATTTTTTTCCTTTGATTCAAATCGACAGATAAAGAAAAAAAGAAAGAAAGAAACGGTATGTTAAGAATACTAAGAAAAATCTGCATTAACATTAAATAAAAGGAAAAAAAAGACTGTATAATTAGCGTAAGCCAACGTTCCCACGTCTATATCTGCACATTCCACGCCGTGTCAATTTAAGCTAATCGAAGTAAATGTCAATGAGAAAATTTGAATTAGTTTAATAATCAAGTCTTTTTATGCTATTCATCGATCACCCTCTCAAGATATATAAAGGCCTATGAACAAATGATTCATTAACGATGAGCTCTATCGCTGATGATTAGTGGAATGTGAACTATTTATTAGACTGGTCTCCAGGTAATTACATTCTCATTGTGCTGACTTATCTCATTTACCTACGTTCCGATCAAGCACACCGACTATACAGGTTCTTATCTTTCTTTTCGCTTCTTTACATATCTGATATCGAAATAACTAATCTATAAGTACATTATTTACATTATTCGGACTATTGTCCTCATCTTTGTCGCCATATTTATCACAACGTTTCGGCCGTTGTACGCTCCGGCCTTCTTCAGGTGGTTGAAATTTCGAACAAAACCCTTTATTACGCTCACTGGGGTAGACTGTTCTAGTTCCACATGCCATGTTTGATGGATGTCAGTTATCAGTTAACTCCTGCTAATTTCACTCTGAAAGTTTATCCACTGTGCCATGTGTGACACATGACACAGTGGATAAAGGCGTTGGTTAGATCCAGTGCCAGGACCCAAAGTGTGTGAGTTCAATACCCGGTTAAGGCAGTGGAGAACTTTCAGAGGGAAAATTAACAGTAGATAACTGATAACTGACATCCATCAAACATGGCACGTGGAACTAGAACAGTCTACCCCAGTGAGCGAAATAAAGGGTTCAGTTCGACATTCCAACCACCTGAAGAAGGCCGGAGCGTACAACGGCCGAAATGTTTTGATAAATATGGCGACAAAGATGAGGACAATAGTCCGAATAATGTAAATAATGTACATAATACCTCATCTCAGAAATATAGACAGACTCTAATCTATAATTATGTTTGCTCTTCTGTGTTTCATTAAAAATGACGAAGAAGATTTGTTGGGTTTTGTTTTTTTGTTTTTTCCTTCCTTACTTCTCTTTTCTCATTTAAGTTTTTTTTTTCTTTTCTTTTTTTTAATCGCTCACTAGAAATTTAAAAGCCGTTGTCATTTTTTATGAAATATGTAAAAATAGATACAAAGGTAGTGTAAAAGTTAGCGAATCGAAACGAGAAATCAGACAGCCGAATTTGTTACATGCAATTTGGCATAGATAACCATGGGAAAGGTATGAATTCATATCTCTTTTCCCACGACTTATGCGTTAAACAGGTCTAGAATAAAGACAACTCTAAATTCAAAACCGTATCTGCCCTCGGTGTAGTAAATTACGCAACCATCGTCAAGGTCATGGAGATCACAAGGTCATGGAGATCACAAGATCATGGAGACCACAATAACTCTGTAACCTCGACTATGTCGCTGTATTATTATTATTATTATTATTATTATTTACTAATGAAAACCTATTGTTTCAATAAACATTATATATATATATGTTTCGGTGATTGTGTTTCCAAACAGCGGTCTTGAATTAAGACAAGAATAAAGGCAATGTATAAAGATTTTTTTTATCGTTAATTAATATTTCTCTTTTATGTACACAAGAACGCATGCGTGGATGCAACAAATGTAAATATTGTTTAAATACATCATAATCATACATAGAATCAATCAGCAATATTAATGCGATTCATGGCGAAATCACTTCGCTAGTAGAACATAATGTATGCATTAAAATACTGTTAATCCATTGAATGATGTGATCCTCATTTATAAAACTGTTCTCAGATGTTTCTAGTATATATTTTTTTAAGTTAAGCGACTACTTTCGAATTTTTATTTTAATGCATACATTATGTTTTACTAGTGAAGTGATTTCGCCATTAATCGCATTAATATTGCTGATTGATTCTATGTATGATTATTTCTTTATATATAAAATATATGCTGCCTAATATTATATGTTTTATATATATATATATATATATATATATATATATATATGAAGTCAACACCAAGCGGCGACAATCTGTTTCATGCTTGTATTGTTGGTAATTTTTTCTAAAATGTATTACTGGTATTAAAACTTTACAACTAATTTTTACACTTTCGTAGTATTTTGACACCAGTTTGGTGGTTTATTTGCCCATAGTTGGGACCCTAACAGGTGCTGCCACGCCGGGTCAGGGTGGATCTGGGAACACCGGCAATTAAGAGGTGGTTCCACGCTCCTCAAAATCGCCTGAACAGAAGCCTTCCTGCCGGATGTCGTTTATCGTCTTACCCAGGACGCGAATGTACTGAAGGCACGCGGCACAAAGAAGAAGAGGGGGGGGGGAGGAAATAACAGTTGACCCTAGACATGCAGAGCTAAAGTTTGTAGATATCGAGGGGAGCATCACCACGGATGCTTACTTCAACAAAGCTGGGGAACTTGGAAAGAAGTTTTCCGAATTAAACTTCCTTCTTACCAACAGAATTGGATGATTCGATCCTGTGTACTTCAGAGATGTGGTTCTACAGAAGGATGCTAAGGATATCATGGACCGAGCGTGTGAGCAACGATGAGGTCTTAGAGAGGTTGTAAACAATGAGGAGGCTTATACTTAACCTCAGGAAGAAGCAGCTGAAGTTTCTGGGACGCATAATGAGGAAGGAGGGCCCGGCAAAACTGATACACACCAGTCGAATAGAGGGAAAGAGAGACAAGGGACAACAACGCGTGACATACATAGCGGGTTTAAGTAAGTGGATGACAGAACGTGGAGGATGCAGAGGAAAGAAACTTGTTGAGAGCTGCAAGAGATAGGAAGAGGTGGAGAGCCATGATCACCTGCATTCTGAAAGGATTTGGCACATAAAAAAGTACCTGATATGGCGGCTCTTAACTGTAAAGGTCTGAACCAGTGAAACTAAGGAATGTAGCGCTATACACCACATGGGATGGAAAAGATTAATCTCTCTCTCTATCTATCTATCTATCTATCTCACACACATGCACACTCTCTCTCACTATCTCTCTCTCACTCTCTTTCTCTCTCACATACACACTCTCTCTCACTCTCTATCTCTATCTCTCTCACACACACACACACACCCTCTCTCTCTCTCACTATCTCTCTCACTCTTTTTCTCTCTCACACACACCCTCTCTCACTCTCTCTCACAGACTCTCTCTCTCTCTCATTTTCTCTCTCTAACTCACTCACTCTCACTGGCTAACTCACATATTTGTTTTTAAAGCTATTTTTATGATTTTTATCATTTCATTAATTCTTTCATTTATTTCTTCTTCTTTCACTCATTTTTTTATTTCTTAACGCTCATAAAATTCTCTTATCCGATCTTCCTCTTCTTTTTAAGAGTTTCCATATTTTCTTGTGGCTTCATCAAAAACACTTCTCAGTCATAAACACGTCTGTCGACATACTAAACTGACACTCTCAACAAACCAGACAAGAAGAGAAAAGGCCAAATAAATATTCAAAATCCACTCTGAGCATCTGGCGTTATGACGAGATAACTGAAGCAACAATAAATATGACACTCCATCGCAATCCAATCCAATGCCACTAAAGACAATAAATAAAAGACTTACGCATTTCTCTTCACTTCTTGATATAATCAACTGATAAAATGTCACGAATAACAAGTGATTCTTACATAACTTTACTTGTTTATTGCCATTAGCTCTGATTTCTTTTTACACTAACAAATCAGATTAAGCATAGGCTTACGGCCATATCACTCTGAAACACTGGTTCCCGTCCGATGATAAGCGACGTCGAGTTTGGCCAGTACCTAAGTGTGTGTGACCGCTTGGGAAGACCAATAATTGTAAGCTTGGATGTGCAGGTGGTGTAATGGATAACGGAATAAGAAATCAGAGAGGCGAGTTCGAATTCCAGTCGGGGTCGTTATATTCACTTACGAGCAAATATATATCCTTACGAAATGTATGAATCTACCTCTTCTTCCCCAATCAATGGGTTAAATAGTAGGACATGTATCTGAAAATCATTGTTATTTCCAAAGATTATTAATACAATATTTACTCGAAAAAAAAAACGAATTATTCTTACAATCCAAGCTTTCGGCTTTAAATAACCCACAAAATGTTGATAAGGAGTAAAAAGCAAATCAATCAATCAGATTAACAGGGACAACATATTATTAAGCCAAAATGATTTACGTCTCCATTATACCTATTCGTCTTCAGGGATTTTACTATATGAAATCAAATCTTAACATCGTCTTTAGAAAATAACATTCAATGCGATGAATTAAAACAGTGAATCCCAAACATTTTTTTTCTCAGGACCGCAATTTCGAAATGAAAATTTGCTCACCAAAAATAAAAACTACATTTAAAGATATAAAACAACGACTAATAGTGCGTTAAATACGTATAGCTGGTCTTTCGTATTCGACGATACCCGTCTAATAAGGCGGCTATTGCAGACAGTCGTTCAGGCGCATTTTGTGGGTTATACTGCAACTATGCTGAGCAGACCTTAGCTACAGTCTCTGGGAAAGAACGTGATAACTAAAAAAAAAACTCTAAAACCTGTCTGTGGCAGTGTCAGTCGCATCTAAACATTTACCGAACATAATGTTATGTTAGTAACGTCTGATAAGAATAAAAAATTTTCATACGTAAAATAATTGTATATTCACTTCTGGACTCGCTTGAATTAACTTCAGACAAATCGAGGGTATGTTGTTTCTTGTCTTTCTTGGAAATTTCGATCTTTGGAGGATACTGGGTTCACTTCCTGTTGATGTTGGTTCAACTCCCGATCGTGCACGAAAACCTCTGACGTGCTAAAACGACACAAAGTACAAAACTTATTTTACTATCTCATAGGGTGAGACCACCACCCTTTGGTGTCACCACCGATCAATTCTTCTGAGATCAAACGTTCTTGATGGAAAGTAATAAGCTTCAAACCTCTGGTATTTCCTGATAGGAATCATATCCTACATTAAAATGAACCTAAGTTATTGGCCCGTAGAAGAAATGATGGCATAAAAACAGTTTGGAAAGATTAAAGTCCAAATGCGGCTTTGTTTGATCGAATATCGTAAAGTACAGAATAAATGTAACCCAAGAATCTGAACGTCATTTATTTTCTGTTTACAAACGATATACAAACCATAGATTTCTGAAAACTAGTGACGTTAGCAAATCTACAGTTACAAACAACATGACGCTAGCTGTACTAGGAAAGCTTTCATCATCATTTATAGAATATGCTCCAAATATGCTCCGTTCTGCTGAAGACACACTTGAAATCTACGGGCCAAGTTGTCGATGACTGATGCACCCTTCTTTTGGTATGGTTCTGATTTCATGAGTGATTGCTGCCTTTAACTCTGAGATGGTGTTGGGGGATGTTCCTGTAGACTCGATCCTTCAGATACCCCTACTGGGAGTTGAGGTCGGGGGAATGCAGAGACCCACTCAGGTTCGCGTTTACAGCTGATGACACGCTTGGGAAACTTCTACTCCAGCCACTCCAGAAAGACATTTGCTGTATAAAGGGTGGACCCATCTTGATGGTACCACTGGTGCCCTCTCTGAACCTTGGTTGCACTTCTGCCACGGCTCATGAAGCACCAGTCAATGCCAGAGTCTGTTCAGAACCTCCAAATAGAGTTCTTTCATAACGGTCAACGGCTGCTCTTGCGCGTCTTCGAAAGCGAAGGATCCAATAATGCCATGAATGGAGGGGTATTTCTAGAACCTCATTTGAGAGTTCTGAATCCCAGAATATATTGTTCTTACTATAGCACACCTTAAAACTATATTTCTTCAGATATATATATATATATATATATATATATATATATATATGGCCTGAGAATAGAAAGTGCGCTTCATCTGTGAATCATACATTATCGAGAAAGTCTGACATTTTCAATATTGTCTGAGAACCAGTTGCACATTGTTACGGTTTTTTGTGTATATAATGGTATAACTAGTGAGCGAGTCAGAATGACTTATTTCCCTTTATAGTCGACCAGTAGAAGGTTGACCAATCAGAAGCCGCCCAACACTGTATTCGTAGTGTATAAAGGCGGCCATCTTGTTTCCTCCTACCAGAAAGACAAAAGGCAACCAGGAGAAGGATGAACTACACTCTGCTGTGATATCCACTGCGAACCTTCACTACGTTTTCCTACTGTCTCCGAAATATTCACTGCCAACCTCTGGAGGCGATACTCGAGGATCGACCGTCATGAAAATGTCTAACACACATTTCTACTCTCTTTTCTTTATCAGCAGCGATCAGTTTTTGTTTTGCTTGTATTCTGTCAGGGTAAAGATGAAGATCTTTGATCAGAATACGCTGAACAGAGGATTTGGTGAGGCCAAGGTCCTGGCACCTTCTACGGGCGGATTTCTTCGGACTCCTGCCTACGGAATCTCAGAAAGTTGCTATGTTTTCAGGAGACCTTAAAGTAGGTTTTCTACCAACTTTGACTGTTAGAGACTTTTTTTCTCATGTTGTTGATTGTCTCTGTAGCATCAAGCTTCTTGATCCGCCTATAAATGTCAGTCTTGCTAGGCTTTTTATTCTAGCCATTCTTTCTGCGGAATTTCGCGATGCCATATTTATAAGGAAATTCCGTCCAATTTTCTTAGCACACAGAATATTTTTCTGTTCTTCTGTTAAAGGCATTGTAGTTGGTGTTCTGGTTTTGCTATCTTTTCAGCATTCTAAATCTGAAATTTAAAATAAAATATTAAAAATCAACAAAAAATTCATACATTTATTTTGGATTACCTTTATCCTGATACACGCTGTATTACACGAACAGCACGTTGAAAATGACGGGGTATTCGCTTCGCGACATGATTAATGTGAGTTCAAGACATGTAAAATTACAACCCCAATAATATATGTGGCTAAATTAATGATTACGTTGGATTTGGTTCTATTTAACTACATTAGTTTCTGCTTACGGACACATCACATTGAAAAATCGGTTCCCGTACAATTACTGGTTAAACAACGTCGAGCCTGGTCAATACCTAGATGGGTGACCGCTTGGGAATTATAGGGGCTGTAAGCTTGGATGTGCGGGTGGTGTAATGGATAGTGGCACGGAATTGTGAATTGGAGAGCTGAGTTCCAATTTCAGTTGGGTTCGTCATATTGACATACGCGCAAAAAGCGTTGGCAAAAGGTATGAATCCACCTTTCTCTCCCTGCTACGGGTAAGACTAAAATTTCTTACAATCTAAAAATATTTTCTGGCATTATAGAACCTGGCTTCAAATAATCTTCTACGGCTTATTGACTACAGGTTGATAAACCGTGAAAAACGAATCAATCGATGCATTTCTTTCTTTCTTTGTATTGTAGCATTTTTTTATTCCTCCTTTTTCTTTCTCTCATACATTCATTCATTTCTCTTTTCCTATATAATAATACAATAGTTAAGAATGGGCTTTTTCAATGTTAACAAAATTTCGCGCAAAGAGAACATGCAGACAAATCCAGCAAAACTTTATAGAGGATAAACATCAGTCCAATGTCATAAAAAATGACAAGTCACGCATTTTCAGTTACGAACGTAGTAGAGAACGCTATAAAAAAAAAAAAAAACAGGTGATTTTCACTCACAGATGTCGTACGTTCAACTTGCTACTGACTCCGCAACACTCATGCCCTAGATTGCACGAAAACTTTTTAAAGACTTATTTAAAAGATACTGAAATTTATAATAATTTTACACAATCGTACCGAGACACATACACACACGTACATTATAATTTAGCCTTTCCCATGCCATATTCGACACACACTCTCGACTATCGCAAAAAAATGATTTACGTAAAAACGTAAATAAATTAATAAATTAGTTCGATGTTAACTTTACATATATATATATATATATATATATATATATATATATATATATATATATATATAGATAGATAGATAGATAGATGAATATCGGCCTGATATATATATATATATATATATATCCACCTGACGATTGCGTCTAGCATGAAACAATCTGTCGTCTGTGAGTGTTGACTTCAGTGTTCACTTTTATATTTATGTTTACTTTTATATATATATATATATATATATATATATATATATATATATATATATATATATATATATATATATATATATATATATATATATATATATATATATATATATATATATATATATATATATATATATATATATATATAT